GTTAAGTCATGTCCGACTCTTCATGACACCATGGACCAGAACATGCCAGGTATCTACCATGGTACAAATTTCACAACCACTTGTGCAATTTTGAGTTATACAGGCATAGCTGTGCTGTTGTCCTTTCTGCAATGAATATTGCCTTTCTACTCTGCATTGTTCCCATTGTATCTTTTCTGATAAATATACAAAGACAGAAATGTTTTCCCACTGAATAATGATAGCTCTGGATTTTTAGAATGATTTCGTCTTAGCAGTGAAGCCAGAGTTACTACTAAAGATCCATCTAGGTTTTTTGGAACATTTCCTTGGGCTCAGGAAATAGAGAAGTTACCCCTTCTTTACCATTCCTCTTCATAGTAGTTTAGCCTGTGTGTGCGCAGAGGCCTCTGATATTCTGCAGCTGAAAGTTTGCTAGGACCACCACTCTGCACCTCACGTGATCCGCCCACCCTAGCGGTTACGTCAGTTCCCCAATTCCGCTGCTCCTCAAAAGAGAGACAGACGTGATGGATAGAGGGGAGGATGGGTGGGAAGTGTGAATTCACAGATGACCACTCGAAGAACCAGTTACAGGTAAGTAACCTCTCTTTCTTCTTTGTGATCTCTCTGAATGCACACTAATGGGTGATTAACAAACTTACCTGAAAGGTGAAGAGACGTCACAGCCACAGTGAAGCTAGAACAGTGCATCCAACTTATGCATCCGTCTTGGCACACACAAGCAGGCTATAGTAGGATGCAAAGTGGATGGAGTTGACCAGGTGGCGGTCCTGTATGTATCTTGGACCAGAACACCTCTTAGAAAGGTCATGGATGCCATGATCGGCTCGGTGGAATGTGGTCCGGAATAGGCTGCCTATCCAATTAGTAGGCAAGACAAATCTGCACAATCCTTCTAGAAATGGTTTGAGTAGAAACTTCTTGTCCTCTGTCAGGTGGATGAGGTGAGGTAAACAAATGGTTAGACTTCTTAAAAGAAACAGTTCTTAAATATAAAAGGGGAGAACTCTCTACCTATCCAGTAGAAGGAATTATCTCTCGACACCAGTGGAAGGTTTAGGACAATAATAGGCGGAAAATTTCTTTTCCAAATTGGGAAGTAAGCATAGGTGTAGGGCAGTGTTTCCTGACCTTGAGTCCCCAGATGCTCTTGGACTAAAACTCCCCAAAGTATTCACCATTTGCTCTGCTGGCTAGGATTTCTGGGAATTGTAATCCAAGAATATCATTTTCTAATCCAAAAACAGTGGAAGAAACAATTACCCAATGTGGTAGG